AGTGTATCAAACTAAGATGAAGTAACACAATATTTGTTGGCCTTTTAAATTTTGGGTGGTTTGTACAAATCGGTATGCATTTATTCATGCATTTGATGCTTTGCGGACATTGTAAATTTTACAATGAATATTTATTATAGAAAAAGTACAATCAATTGTATAATTAATCATTTGATGTATATATATATATATATATATATAAAGCACAACCAATCCATGAAAAATGTTATGAATTTACTGGTTTTTAGATGAAATACATTTGGTACACAAAAATAATATCACACCTAAATGCAAAAACAACAATTAATGCAATGAGTCCTACTCAGGAATTTTATTTCCGAAGATCCAAATGGAAGGAGATTGTCAACAAATTAGGAGATCTCCTTCATGATTTACATGGAGAATTATGGTTGAATGAATAAAAAAAAAAAGAGAAAAAACAATATATTTATCGGACTCGTAATAGGACGACCCATGGCCCTAATCTTCAAGTTCCAAAAAGCCCACGAGTTAAGATCAATAAATATTATCTTGGGCCTAACATGGTATTTGATATTGGTCCTTTCGGCCCATGAAGGCTGTCCCGCACAAAACTCCACCCAGTGTTTTCTTCTTCAGTTGCTCTTGGAGAGGAAAGAGATCGACGGAGCTAGTAGCTTTGCTTGGTCCAAAGGAAATCCCTTTTCTTCTTCAAATCTTAGATTTCTTTCTCAACTTCAATTTCTCTGCTTCGTTCGTGAATCAGAGGTCCGTTTTTGTTCTGTAAATTGTTCCCTATGGCTCCGGATCCGAACAGCGGCAGCGGCAGTGGTGCCCGGGAGGAGGCCTCGCTCAAGGTCCCGTCGAAGGATCCCAAAAAGAAGGACGAGAAGAAGGATGAAGATCTGGTGAGTTTCTTCTATTCGTCTAGCTCTGCTTTTCTTTTCGAGAAGTCGGGGAAAGTCAAGTAGTTGAAGAATTTCGATTGCTGAGAGGCTTAGGGAAGAGTTGAAGGGCATTGGGTGCTCGGGAAAATTTTGACAAAGAATAGTGTGTCTTTGTTCCATTTTCCCTAAGGTTTTTGCTGTCTTTGGGAAAGGAATGATTTAATTGTTTGTTGGGCAAGGGTTAGGGTTTAGCTGATTGAGTGAAGTGTTTCAATTGCCTAGTTCGTAGTCCAAACTTTTCTTTTTTACGTTCTTTTGAGGTTGAATGGGTCTATTTATCAATGCAGTCTGATGAAGATTTGGCTTTGAAGCAACAATTAGAACTGTATGTGGAAAGGGTTCAGGATCCTGATCCTGGGTTGCAGAAGGTTGCTCTTGAGAGCATGAGGTAATCCTCTGAACCTAATTTTGAAGTTAATGTTAAATGTTGTGTTTTAGTGAGGACATTCCTGTCTGAGTTGGTTGGTTTCTCTGAATTAGGCTTGCCTGATTCCATTATTCCCTCTAGGTTTTAAAACTTGTGCTAAATATTCTCTTTAGGTTGTCTAAAGTGTCTAAGATCGATTAAAGGTGAAAAAGAAACTTGCTAGGAAAATCTATATATGTATATATATTAAAAAAAATGGCCATGGGTGGCAGTGGTTGAGCAAAGTATTAGTCTTAAAGTTTGTTTTGATGTTCTTATAGGCAGGAAATCCGCACCTCAACAAGTTCCATGACTTCAGTTCCAAAACCATTAAAGTTTCTTCGTCCTCATTACGGCACTCTTAAAGCTTATTATGAGACAATGCCAGATTCAGATTTGAAGGTATTGTTTGTTTTTGTATACAATTTCCCATACTGAGTATAAAAAATTTTAGCTAAAGTAAGTTTTTTCTCTTGTATGCAGAAATATCTGGCTGATATACTTTCTGTTCTAGCACTGACCATGTCCGCAGAGGGAGAGCGGGTATGCTGTCTGGTTTTTTTTCTTCTTTTTTCTTTTTTGCTTTGTATACAACAAGATTAAGGCTTAGTTTGTCAGTGCTTCACACAGACCTTTTTCACACAAAACCTTATTTAAAAATGTAAATTTATTATTCTTAATTACTTTTAATTTTTTTTTATATATTTTTACTAATTTTAATTAATGTTTTATATATTTTTGGGATAGTAAAAGACAAATGAAACCTAATTTTAATATTGCATCTTGCTATTATGAACTCTCTTTTTTACTTTTAGCACTCCTATTCTGTCACTGTATTATATTATAAAAATCTGTCAACATTTCAGGAGAGTTTGAAGTACAGATTGTTGGGTTCAGATGGTGACATTGGTTCATGGGGCCATGAGTATGTAAGGTGAGCATCGTTTGAATAAATTAAAATGTTGTATTTTTTGTGTATTGGACAGGGGATTGCGAATATGTTTGTACTTTAGATCATGGTTTAAGACTTTAGGTTATGATCAAACTTCTTGAATGTTTTGCAATTATGACTTTTTTCAAGTGTTTTTTAACAAAGTGTTTTCCATCAATGTTAGCTTCTCGCGAGCCTTCTGGATTGTGGACTACATTATGATTTCTCTCTCTTCTTCTTTGTACCTTTGTCTCTGTTTTCTGTTGACATTGTTGATTGGTTTATATGTAATCAGGAACTTGGCAGGAGAAATTGCCCAAGAATATATCAAGCGACAGGTTAGAAATCTCTGTCTTCATTCTGATTTTGTGCAACTAATGACCCAACTTTGATATGATGACATGATAGATATTAAGTACTATTAGTATTGCATCTTCAGGTTTGGCAATCAGGTGTCTTCAGTTTTTTATATACATCAATGGTTAAAATCATTTATGGATTTTTTTTCTCTATTTATGTCCCCTGTTCATGTTGAAAAGTTGTCTACAATTTAATTCTATGTAGTTTCTTCTTTTTGCTAATGTTACAGAGTGAAGAGGCCCCAATTGAAGATCTAATGGAGCTTGTTCAACAGATCGTTGCTTTTCACATGCAGGTAAGATGCAATTTGAGTTTTTTAGTTTCTTGCCTATCGTATATGATGAATTGTAGAAATGATATTTCCTGAGAAAGATCTGAAAGCTAGGTAACCTTGTGACTTTTCTTTCTCCTATTCACAGCACAATGCAGAACCTGAAGCTGTTGACCTCTTGATGGAGGTGAGATGCAGTATATTCTTTCTTCTTCACCTCTTACTTAATCCCCTTTCTCCCTCTTTTCGAAAGAGCTCAAGCATGCAATTTAAACTAATTGCAGGTTGAAGACCTTGATCTCTTAGTTGAGCATGTGGACAAAACAAATTTCAAGAGAACTTGTCTGTACCTCACTAGTTCAGCAAGGTAAGTAGGATTTAAAACTGAGAATTCTCCTTTAAACTTCAAAACACATTTTTATGAATTTTTTATATAAATTTCTTCCTTCAAGAATGCAAAAATATACTGGTCCTCAAATAGTATTATATATCAAATCTCATATGAGTGATTCTCAATCTCAACCCTAAATTTGGAATAAATTCTTCACCATTTTATTTGAATGTTTATATCCATGGTAGACAATGTTGCATGCTACTCTCTTCATGTCGACATTCTGAATTCAATATATTGCAGATACCTACCTGGACCAGATGACATGCTAGTTTTGGATATAGCATACTCTATTTATGTCAAATTTGAGGAATTTGCAAATGCACTTCAGATTGCACTCTTCCTTGATAACCAGCAGGTTTGTTTTGTGGCATGCTCTTTTCTTTTCATGTTCAGCGGAGTTGAGAAATCCAATTTCTTTTTTAAAAGTGTGAGCTAGGATGCTATCATTAAAATGAATTATTAATGGAACTAGATGGATATAGTCTAATAGTGTCAAATTTATATTTGCAGCATGTGAGGCAGGTCTTTGAATCATGTGGAGATCCATTAATGAAGAAGCAGTTTTGTTATATCCTTGCTAGACATGTAAGTCATTGATTTTTGCTTATTTGGATTGGTATTCGAATGGGAAAGCATTTTGTAAATATTCTCTCAATTCTATAGTTGGTTCTCCTCTCTAGCTCATTTCCATCTAAGTAGTGGATGATTAATTTCAAATTTTGATGGTTGATACTCTTTTTGGCTATTGTTGTTGCTTTCATAAATGTGCTGTTCTAAAAGTGTTCTATCATGAAGTTGTTAAAGAATGACCAATAGTAATTTTGGAAGTTGGTAAATTTTCATTAAACTCAAAAGTCTGCTTGCAAAATCTCTATTCTAGAAACTACAAATTTGTGGCTTCAGCTTTAGCCCTCTTAGAAGTTGAAATGATATTCTAGAAGTTCAGCTTCTAGGAAAAACAGAAGTGCTTTCAAATCAACCCT